ACAACCACATCAGAGATTAATCCAAGGAAGGTTGCCAAAAAAGATAGATCATCAGTGATATTATAAGCAAAAGAATTATCAAATACAATCTCGACTTGACCGAAGATCTAAAAACAAAGAAACCTGCCTGTGTAGAAGTTGTCCATCTGTCAAGGAGGAAGAAAAAAATAAATACAAAATTACAAGCACATGGATAAATAGACTACTTCGAACTTTGGAGAAAATGTACAAGAAGAAATGGTTCGAAATTCTAACCTTAATGTAAGAGTGTGGTCGCACTGGATGGGCCATGGGACCTGCATCCTGGAAAATCAGAAAAGATGTATTAGAATGCATCCAGAAATCATGATCATTCTAAATTATAGAAATAGTTTTGAAAAGGTAACTTATAGTAATAATGACATGACCAGTTAGAAAACAATAGGACAAAATCCATCACCAGAAAAAGATGCACAAAGTTATAACCAGAAATTGAACAACGAAAAGAAGAAACCTGTGGAAATTGGTAATTTCTAAGTGTTGAAACATCAGCAATCCTTTGAACAGTACGACTTCCCATGTCAGATGAGAATTCCTGTAAATAAATAATGAAACTCATTACATTAAAAGTCTGGTGGATGAAATGTTTTGTTAATGTCTAAAATGAATTGTTGTAATGACTGAGGTACAGAAGTTGTGCCTGATCACGAAAAACTGTGAGACCTTCCTTCAGGCTAAGCTGGAACCAGTCGCGACATGTCACCCTGATATTATTATAAATTAAAATGATCAATACAAGTTTGAACATGCCCATGACAAGGGAAAGATATAAACGTACAAACAAAGACAGACAGGAAAAACTTGTCAACAAATGTCATATTGTTAATGTAAAAGGCAAGTTTGTGCTATCTGAAAAAGAAATACAAAATTTAAATAGAATTGAGTAGAATGTATTAGAAATTTAGAACATGATATTAATGGGAATAAGAGCAGATAAATCCATAGTTCAAAGGATAACAGGATCTATGGTATGAAACATCACCTGTTGCCAGTCCAGTTGTGGAAATACTGCATAGTAGCAATAAATGAGCTATGGTCAAAATAAAATAAAAAATAGAAATTTAGTTTTAGAAACGTTAGTGACTTTCAAGCATTCTAAATATATATGATAGTTACAAACCTCATGGCCAATAACTCCCAATATTGCAGCGTAATCTGCATCAGTAGCAGTTTCTGGAGAAGCCAATACAAGCTTGGAATTGAAGATCTGCACATAAGCAAAGAGAATCAATAGTGAAAACAGATAACCAACCAAGAGTAAAGACAAGCTTACAAGGAGACTTACATTCAAGCTCTTGTTTTCCATGGCTCCCCTGACCAATAAAAAAATGCACCATGTTACTCTTATATATCCTAAACTCTTCATGATATCTCATCTCATAATAAACAAAAGCACAATATATGTAGAGTAACATGGTTCAAATTTCCACAAAAACGAGAGAGAGAGAGAGAGAGAAAGAAGATAACAGTTACATGTTAAAATCTGGGACAGCAACAATATTGAAGAGATCCAGGTCATATTCAAGTCCAAAAACCTGTTGCAAAACATATCACAAGACAACAAATTCTTCAGAGTCCCATTGAATGTACATTTGCAATCTGATCAAATAAAGCTAAAACTAAATAAAGACTGACATCTTCATCCCACTTCATAGCTGCTTTCAAAGAATACATAGCATGTGCAGTCTTAGGTAGGTCATCTGCAGGGGTCCAGATCCTGAGGGACACCTTCCGCCCTGAAAGGGTAACAAATGTGTCATCCCTGCTTTGCAATTGCCCAGCAACCAAGGCAAACAAATAGGAAGGTTTCTTGAAAGGGTCCTTCCAAACAGCATAATGCTTGCCATCCTGCAGTGAAGCACAAATGATGTCCAAGAACAGTAGTAAATCAAGATAGTCTTCATCTTTTACTACTACGCATCTCAAGAAAAGCTTACCTGAAAATCACCTTGTTCAACCAGGTTTCCATTGGACAATAACACTGGATAAAGTGATTTGTCGGCCTCAATGCGAACCGTATATTTTGCCATTATATCAGGTCGATCCTATTGGATGATACAACCAATTAGTTTTATGTGGATATTAATTGCCATGAAAATCCTTAGTATATTAACTGCCATGAGATGCAAACCTGAAAAAATGTAATTTTACGGAAGCCTTGAGCTTCACATTGAGTACAGAAGTTCCCAGATGACTTGTAAAGCCCCTAGAGGAAATCAAATTCATTGTAAGAAATCCATATTGTGGAGATAGAAGTTGATAAGAAGAAATACTATATACAAGGACGTTACACACTCTACAACAAGGAAAAATCTCATCTACCTCCAATGATGTGTTTTTTTGTGGTTGGATCTCAGTAATAATTTCAAGATCGTATTTACCACTTGGAGATGATTGAATTGTTAGATGGCGTGCATCCAAATGGTAATCTTCCTCCTGAAGATGAACATAAGAAAATATATTTAAATATTGCTACACGATACTCCAAGTCTCCAACCAACCACAATTGCACAGTTACAAAATGTTTATGAAAGTAAACAGTTTCAAGTAGGAAATACAAATATTATGTCTTTAATATATAACATATTAAAATGACAGTACAAAATTGAACCTCACTGCCAGATTAAGTCAGAAGATGGCAAAGAAATTACATCAGTGATAACGTTCACAAAGTGACCAGGGCAGTGGGTTGCACCAAAAAAAAGTGTATACACACCTTCAAAGTCTTGCCATTAATCTGAATTGAAAGTAAAGATAGGTCTTGTCCATCTAGAACCAATGGGGGAGAAGAACCTGTTGCACAAAATAGACAAATTATCTACATAAGACAAATGTGTATGGATAAAGACCAGTGAATTACTTAGAAATTGACAACGCACATGTTTCTTCCAATTAAACAATATCAAGAAAGGAACTATAATGGCTTACCTTCAGTACGAGGGAACACAGTAATTTTAGAAGTAACTATTGTCTTCTCCTCTCCCAGAGAAAATTTCAGATGCACCTGTAACAGTTAGGAGAATAACACATGAAAATAAGAAGCAATTAAATTTAAAAAATATTAACATGAATGAACATAAATCTAATAACTGCATCAAACTTACGGTGTCAAAGTAGTAATCAGGCATTTTATAATCCTTTAAGAATATTTCTCTTGGTGCCTCCATTTTAGATTCTTCAATTTGCTTTGGTAAGTCCTTTGTGGCAACCGAACAAATTAGTCTCCTGCTCACTTGTTTGACCCTCTGGTAAAGAATACAGGAATGTACAAGATCAGCTAACCAAACAAGCAGATTATTCAAAACCACAATAATTGAATGAATATCTTCAAACATGTTACTACACAAAAAGTAAAAGTGGAGTGATAATTAACAACACAAAATATACTAGCTTACTGGTAGTGAAGAATAAAGGGAACAACACTTCCGGAAAATGGCCTGTAAAATTCATATTAACAATTCATTACAATCATGAGATAACATCTTCAAGGGTGAGGCTATATGCATTTGGCATTCCTAATTGTCTAGTCACATTTCTCTTTAATAACAATTATACAAAAACAAAACAAAATCAAATCATGATTGTTTAGTAGAAACCGTAGATAGGCAAATAGGAGTTCTAATAGCCTCACTACAACTTCAAATAATGTTTTATTAATTATAAAAAAGTCCTCTTCCGGATGCAAGGAACACATAGAACAGACATAAACCTCAGATGCAAGGAAATGTCTATCTGATGCTACTTTTTGCAGTACTCTGAAAACAGTTAACACTACAATTCACCTGAAGCTGCAAAAATAAAGACAACCATCATCATATAGTGCCAGAAATTTACAAATATTCAGTTACCATGACAACATTCATAATTAATACTAGAGCATGAATTAAAAAAAATTAAAAGAAGAGATTTTTCTTCCATAATTAATAAAAACCAAACACGGTGTTATATAATTGACAAAGAATGAGAAAAAAGGAATGTAAGTAAATAGTGATAGAAAATCACTGGTGCATGTGAGATCAAACCCAATAGGTTCTTCCTCGAAAAAGCGAGAGAATTTGATGGCAGAACCAACCGAGCCATTCAACAATTACTAAAGATACCAATATTAAAACCCTGAATCAGTTAAATACTATAGTGATTTTTCTCCTATAGGACAATTGAATATGAGGATAGGATAATGTCAATTTTATGGATATTAATATTCATAATTGAAAATATGTAACAGATTAAAGTTTAAAATAAAATAAAATAAAAAAGATTGAATAAACTTGGTTCCGAAAATGCAGATGCATGTTAAAATGGGGTTTTGGGAAATTGAAGAAATGATTGATGTTACGAGATATACCTTGTTCTGGGATGAAGTGTAGTGAAGAGAATGTGACAGATAGAAGGATTATAAATCGGTAGAGACTAGCATTGGTAAAATGGACCGGGCTATTTAGCATGCATACCCATAATACTCACAAATTATAAGTGGATAATGTATTTATGAAAATGGAATAAATTTACAAAGGGGCTAACCCAAATGTTTGTGGGCCCCAGACATTAGTAAATAAAAAAATTATCAACCTCATATTCTATCTATGATAATCCTATCCTCCTCACTAATCATTCTTCATCTACTAATATTAAAAAATTAATATTCATCTCTTATAAATGTTCATTTATATTAATTTGTTTTCTGAAATATATAAGCAGTGTAATATGTATATACCGTGTGTGTAAAAAATGAAGGATTGACATCATAATATAAGGTATTGTAGAGGATTGTCTTGTACCGCAATTTAAAAAAAAATTAGTACATGAAGAGTGATTTCCTACTTAATAAAATTAATGATATTGACCGTGAAGAGTGATTTTATAAAGGAGTTTTTCATCTTATATGTGAGGTATGATGACACATGTCCCTAACTTATGTGGCAAAAGTTTTATTTCTTATATAGTATACGTCACTGCTTATGGACCCGAACCTGGGCGATCTATCCATGACCAGGATGAAGCTTGGGTGAAACTAAGTGGAAGTCCGAACCAACTGATGTTGAAGAATCAGCGGATGAGTTGTGGTTAGGGGTGAAATGCCACTCGAGCCCAGAGCTAGCTGGTTCTCCCCGAGTCATTAGCTCTGAGAATAACAGACTAGGCCTACATTCGGCCCAAAAATCTGGGCCCATGTTGACATGTTTATGGACTATAATCATTGAACTTGTATGAAACATCTCTTATATAAAAAAGGAAAGAAAAAAACTCAGTTGCACTTTCTACCGTTCGACGTAGTTAAAACTTGTTTTTGGAATGTTCAACTGAAAAGCAATCCTTAATTTAGGGTTTTTTCATTTTATCGAGAATTGAATCCAGAACACAGTAACACAACACACTCTACACCTTCCAACAATGGCGACTCAATTATCAACAACAACAACAACAATCACAGAGAACAAGGTTCATCAATTCTTCGACGAAGTTGGAGCTCACAAAAGAATTCTCGGAAATTTCACCAATCTCTTCACAACTCTCTCCAACCACTACTCCTCTCTCCAAAATTCTCTTTCTGAAAAATCCCAATCCATCGATTTAAAACTCCAGACCCTCCAATCCAAGTCCACCGAAACCCTAGATTCCCTCCTCTGCAAAGAAAATTCCATCCCTGAGCGCGAATCCGCTGCCGCCGCCATCATTGACGAGCAAAAAGAAACCGCCATCGCCGAGTTCCAGAAGCCTCTACCCGGGAACCTAGAAATCGGCGCCACGCTCAAATCCCTATGCCGGAGAATGGATTCCGTCGCGCTTCTGCGGTTCATCATCATGAAGAGGAAAGAATCGGCTGTGCTTAGGGCGGAGATATCGGCCGCTTTGGCAGAGGCGGTTGACCCGGTCAGGTTGTTGCTGGAGACGGTGGAGGATTACCTGAATAGTAAATCGGAGAAATCCGGGGCCACAGATAAGAGGTGGGCGTGTGGGATTTTGATTCAGGCTATTGTTCCAGAATCAGGGTCCAAGGGTGTGGAAGTTCCTAGAAAGATTGTTGAGAGGGCGGTTGCGGTGGTGGACAGGTGGAAGGGGCAGCTTGATGGGGAAGAGGGCAATGGGACAGTTGGGTTTGGGCCAGTTGGTGTTGGGGCATTTGGGGCGGCGGAGGCTGTCATGTTTCTTCAAATGGTGGTGTTTTTTGGGTTAAGGGATAGGTTTGATGAAGAGTATTTGAGGAAGACAGTGATGGAGTTCGCCTCAAGAAGGGATATGGCAAAGGTCGCTGCTACATTGCAATTTGGGGACAAAATTATAGGTATCTTTTTCTGGATGCTTGTTGATCGTTTATTATTTCTGTACTTGGGATATTATAGGTATCTTTTACTGTTAGACTTTAGTTAATGTCGGGAATTTGGGATATTATTTATTTACTTTACAACAAAAAACTGTTGCACGTATTGCATTGCCTTATGTTACAAATTTATTGCAATTTATATTGAGATGGGAATGATGGACCATGAGCATAATGACGTTGGTCATATGTAGTTTGGTGGGTGCCAAAAAGATGCATTCTTTGATTATTTTTTGGGGGGATTTTAGTAGTTATGAGGCTTGTTGAAAATCACTAAACAGAGAGTCGCAAGCTGGATACATATGGAAGCTTGTGTAGGCAGACAACCAAAGTATAACTTTATTTTATCTTTATGAAATGGACAGACAATAGTTGTTTGGTTTCCCATAGTACCCTCCCGCCCAATAAGTGAGAGACATGGGTACACTCTTAAACACCTCTAAGCGCCCCAAAAAATGTTTTTTCCAAAATCCTAAAATTGATTTACAATAAGATCATTTCGTGTGGCTAACTGCTTTTTGGTCTTTTTTCTTATTCTGCTATCTATCGTGGGTTGAAAAAGAGAGCCATTATAACTTCACAAGGTTGTCAAAGATTCGAAGACATATGTAATGGACCGCAAGATTTCTGAACCTGCTGTTAAAGCCCGGCAATTATGTTTTAAGGATATAAGTAATGATGGGTTAGAGGTTTAGTGTTGAGGTATACTTGGACTACGGGCCATGTAGTTTGTAGACTATAGTACTTGCATAGAGAAGGTAAATATAAACCCTTGCTTATCAAGTTTCCAGAACCAGAGAAATTTTCAATCATAGTGTGATAGTAAAGTACTACTCAAGTCTAAGGGAAAAATTTACTTCTATTTGACCACTGATTTTATATGGGACTGGAAATGTTGGGTGGTGAAAAACAAACTAGAATAAAGTAAATGTTGCATATATAAGGATATTGCGTTGGATGAGTGGATACATTAGAAGACCAGAGCGAATGCATTAAAGCGAAAGTTGAGGTAATACTTATTGTAGAAAATATGGTAAAATATACTGTAGGTGATTTGGCCATGCGTAGAAAAGCCATGTAGAAGTTGCTTTAAGGATAGTGGATCAGATGGACGGTAAGCTTAATAGCTAAAAGAAACAATAGGTGAACCATTATGAAATATTTAGACGCAAGTGATTCTATAGACATGATTTATGATGGGGAACTATGATGTCATTTGATCATGTAGCTAACTCCACATGGTGAGAAAGGCTTGGTTTGTTTTGTAGTGTATTTATGCATATATTGTCCGATTTAGAAAAGGGTCGGCAATTGGATTTCTGGTCATAAATTTTTTAAACACAATGGATCTTATTGAAAATAAATTATGTTCTTAGAGAAGTTTACTTGTTTCTTCTTATCTGAAATAATTTCCCTGCTTCTCTGATTACTTCTTTCAATGTTCTTGATGCTCATTGGTATGTGTTTCACTCCATGGTCTCTTACATCTCTCTTATTAGTTATTACCTTTATGCAACCCTCTTGATTTCTTAATCCCTGCAGTGTTTGGCTCAGACTGTATGGCTTCTTTAACGAATGCTAGATCTTTCATATGGAGCTGCAGTCTTTCCTCCTTATTAGATTTAGAGAGTTTGGATCTCGTAAAGATTCAAAGAAAATTGTGGCATTGTTCAGTTTTGCTGCCTTTTGGCGCATATGGTTGGAAAGGAATCATAGAATTTTTAGAGATTCCTTCTCCTCTTTAGACTTGTTTGGGACAGTTTTTTGGCATCCTTTTGATGCTCTTCCTGTGATTTTGCGAGAGGGATTCAGAAGCGTTGTATCTGAGGATGTCTTATCCTTTTCTTTAGGACTTATCTATTCCCATCTCATGAAATTTCGTTTTTTATCCCCAAGAAAATCCTCTTTATCTCCTATATTTCAACTAATCCTCCTCAATTTCCCCGTTACACTTATCTCTGTGGATATGCAGCTCCTTACCAGAGTTAAATGTTCTATATAATAAAGCAGATGTAGGTAGGATTTGCAGCCTAAATCAATTGACATTAGAAACTCAGCCAGTGTAATCATGCAGTGTTTTATTATGATTAATTGAATTCCATGCAACAAAGGTAGCAGAATTTCTTCAGATTTGTGATTTATTTTAATTTTTTAGCTTATGAAAAACTTTTGGCCAAAGCATATATTCTTGCATAGAGTTATAGACTAATAAATGCAAGTGATTTGTGCAGATATTATAGATGAACTAGTTAAAAATGGCAAAGAGGTAGAAGCCGTTTATTTTGCTTCAGAATCTGGTTTGACTGAAAAATTTCCTCCTATCGACCTGCTCAAGTCCTCTCTTCGGAACTATAGAAAGAATGCTGCCACCATTTCGAAGAAAGGAAATAACAGTCAGGCTGCAACAGTATGAATATTTTACCTTTCCAATTCAATTGTATATGCTGTGTTAATAAGTTATCCCTTCAACAGACCACTTTATTAAATCTGTCATTTTTCAGGATGATTCAAACACCGAATCAAATTTCGTCAGGGCCTTAATTAGATGTATAGAAGATCACAAGCTGGAATCAGAATTTAATCTTGAGAGTTTGAGGAGGCGGATTGCACAGCTGGAGAGAAGTAAGTCTGATAGGAAGAGAGGTTCAGCATCTGCAAGCAAACCTCCGAATAAGCGAGCTTATGGAACGAGCAGCAGTCGAGGTAGTCGAGGAAGTGGATCTAACCGTCCAGCGAAGGCAGCCAAATTTAGTTCATATCCATCTCCATCGTCATCATCTTTCAGCCGCAGGAACTTAGCACCTTCTCTACAGCCTAGCCCCGCTGCAAGATATTCTGGTCCTTATAACTACCCCACCCAGACTGTATATGATGGTTCAACTGCTAATCCATATGCAGCAACCTATGGAGCTTCTCATACTCAAAGCCCAGCTGGATTACAACAGCACTACTCACTCCCTGTTGACAATTTAGCTTCGTCTGGTTACCAATCAACCAGTTCTTATGCAGCCAGTTCTTATGCGACAAGTTCTTATCCGGCGAGTTCTTATGCAACCAGTTCTTATCCAATGGGACAGACTAGCTATGGCGGCATATATGATTATGGAAATGCTGCTCCACCAAGTTATCAAACCACATATACATTAGATCAAACCAGCTACCGGGGATGAGTTTGGCAATGCAGTTCTCCTCTGACTGGGTGTCTCCTTTCTTGTGTTGTGCATGTTAACATTGGGAATACTTTTATGTTATTGGGAATGTATTTTTCAAATACATAGATATGTGATGCCAATACAAAGTCTTTTATTACTAATTTTATTTTAACCTTTTCTGTTTAAAGCTAATTAGTTCCTCCATTCTTTCTAGTTTTTGGTACAAGGAGAAAGCCAAGATACTTTTATTGAAGGCAATGGCTAGTCCTGACAGAATACCTTATGGACGTAGAGTCCAATTCCCGAGTACATCAGAGCATTTTGAGCACATCGTAGTCAGGCTTAAACAAATGTGGAAATGTGCACTAAACCTGTTAAATTATTATATAATTGGCAAGGAAATAAACTATTTTTCAATATTATCAATTACATCTGTGGAGTCAAATATATGAATGTATCTACCGTAATGTTATACTATAAATCAAATCTCTATGTGTTTGGAGTTGGTCCTAAGCTCAGATAAAGGTAAATGTTGTATTAGGTGGATGATAATCAACGTAAAACTATCTAACCTCTATGATATAGATCAATCAAATATATTTCATTGTTCTTAAATAAATGGAAAAATGTT